GAAGACGTCAAAGTGACATGAATTCAGTGAGTATCTTGTCAAAATGCAAACTCTTTTAAAGAACAATTAATAGTGTATAACAAAAGTATGTGATATAATGATTAAAATGGTTTCAAACTGAAATAACTGTACACACATATTAAAAAAAAATGAATAAAATGTTTTGCATATTTAAAACCATAGGGCTCGGGATGTCTCCGTTTTTAAAATTTCCCCTTCAAAAATCGAAATGCTGTGAGCTAATATCGTTTATATTTGAATTTCAACATTAGTGACAACTGTCTAGATTCACAGATACATACCTGACAAAGGCTTCAAAAGGCATGTTTTGGTAAGTTTAGTGGCATATAATTTAAGAACACTACAGTCGTCTGCTTTTGACAACCGGAGGTGTATAAGTCAAACCGGTGAAGTCGGACAGGAACACCCCTTGAAATTTGCCCCCATATTAATCCGCCATCACATATTAAAATCTACTAAAACTATACATTTTTCTAAAGTTCAATATCTATAGATTTCATTCAATATAATATATGCCAACAATGACCTATTCAAATTACTCAGAGGCACTTTATCAAACCGGAACAAAAATTTAAGTATGGATTACAATCGTATGAAACACTTACTGATCGGCTGATTTAGTTGTGTGAGACCTATACACATCCGGATTTATGATCAGGTGAAGGTCTTTATATTTCCAGATTCTTTGTCTGACTTATTAGCGGTGTCTCCCTAGACACGCGTCTGTACTTGACCGTGGCTTTTACGAGGACGTTAAAACCCAAAACAAACAAATATTTCAAGAGCAATGACATTACTCAACATAACAACAGATTAGCAACTTATACCATGGTTTATCTTTTTAAATAGGACATCTACCGAAATAAATATATATTTATTTAAACCAAACAGAGGATCAGACGACGCCATAAAAATCACGATACATTCTTTGCTTTATATTTCGATAGCATTAATGTTCATAATCTACTTATAATAGTAAAAAACAAAATTGTAAATCACCACCTTTACCTAAGTATGACATGCCTTGTGATTCAACTTACTTAACCCTTTATCGCTAGGATGTTGGGACACCATTACATGTATTTATCCAAATTTAGTGTGGTGGAATAAATGTTGATTCTTCCCGTATGTACAAATAAATACGGATGGAGCAAAAGTCATTTACAAATCACTTGAAGTGATTGAATTTGTATAAAATCGATACACAAATGAGACAGAAGAAAAAAGATTTAAAGCTATATCGTGACGTTGCTAATGGTATTCAAATCAATGTACCCATATGTAACCGTTTGCAAGTTTCAAAACACGAAAATATACACGTAAATTAATTTTAACGCAATGAACGGGACAGAAATATGAAGAATCGTATATGAGTCGTTAACATTCTATCTTTATAATGAATATATGATACGTATTCGCTCACCTCACTTTTTAACTGTGACCTCTTTATTTCACATTGCTGTGTGATGATATTCGTCTCCTGGAATGTTTTCGAAGCTCTCACACAATTCATCGAGAACAAATGTATGCTGAAGCTTCCTTCTTATTTGTTATAATGAGACACCTATTTCCATACAGATTTTAAAATAATAATGTTTAAATAAAATATTTTTTTCACTTATAACTTTATTCTCGGCAGTTAGAGTAAAAAAGCAAAATTATGATGATGTAACACCATTTTTAAATGGAGTGGATTTTATCAGGGTCATTCTGGATTCCTGTCCCAATGCAGGTAAAGGTATTTTCACACATACAGTTATTATATATGTTTTGTGTGAAAGGGAGAATACTTCGTTAATCACGTTTTGGATAAAACTGTAGTAAGGTTTCGGGAGGGCACTTTGCTGATCAAGCAACTCAGTTTGCTAGAGCGACAGTATTGTGATTGGTTCGAACCATGGGTCGAATCCATGTCTGACTCAATTGGTATTTCTATATTTAGATTAATGTTATTGATATCTGTTTTTTGTTTTTTGTTTTTGTATTATTATTTATTTTTATAAACGTCTCACAATTTATAGGTTTTCTTTTCAGAAATGATTAACGAAAGCTATCGTTATGCAAAACAAAAATGAAATATATTTGTGCGATGGTACGAGGATCCTGTATTTATTTCAATAAAGATAACACATCTATATTTCAATCGTCTGAACACAAACACCTTTCAACTTAGATATGTTTAAATCCCATCATGGCATCCATATACATGTATATATACTGTACATACATATATACCATTTCATAAGAATTCATAAGACAACATATAGAACGATTTTTTTTTATATTTGTAGAGTGCGATCGAACTTATATTGAATCATACACAGCATAATTTTGATGGCATGTGCCTGAATTTGAATCACAGTGCACGCGAACTAACTGGCTACAGGGATGATGCATAGTGTGCTACCATACTGATAAATGTACCGATATACGAATACTTACTAAAACTAGCAAATCTCATCACATCACTTGCCATATGTTTCTTGAATGAACAAGTCATTTAATATATTACCCCACGAGTCTTTGGAAAGAAAGTACGAAAGAACAAGAGATTTAGCAAAAGCAGACAAAGCGATATTGTCATATATCGACGAAAGCATTGCATTTCGTAATATTTTACGACTTTTATAGTTTTCTTTTCGTTTTCCCGCTTTTCAATCAAGATAAAACCCAATGACATTTTCTGGAAAGCCATTTGCAAGCCATTTTCATATTAGGAAATCCGTAAATATGCATTTGATTGACACAGTAGAATTTATTTCAGCATTTTTTTTCTATTTGTACGTCCGAGAAAAAACATTTGCTCTGAATACCAAAAGGCCGTCCCTAACAGGATCAGTGTAAAAGCACATGCTTTACTTTTGGCACGTTACAATTATATTGATGGAGCCAACACAGTTGAGTGGAATGACGAAGAAATATGGCAAAGAAATGTCAAGTTTTCGTGAAACAATAAGCTCAATTACGAAATGATTCGACATCACAGATAGAGTCCTTTTTATGCGATGAGAAATGCAAAAAAATGGGTCTTAAAAGGTTTTCATTTTTATCTCTAAAATACGTTCAGTTGAACCAGGTCTTGGTAGATGAGACCTGCTGTTCGTCTCTGATAACGTTTTCATTTACAAAACTGCATTTGCAGGGAAATGGATTAAAAGACAATTTTTATCAATTGACGAAACTATCAACGTCTTGAAAAAAACACTTTCAATTAAGTCTAATTTTAAATGGAACTGCGGCTACCAATACAAAACATCGTATTAATCAAATAACGAAACAGTTTGATGTTGAAAAAATCAAAGTATATCATAAAGTAATATGACTTAATTCAAAGGACTGTGTCACTATAATAACATATAGCAGAACTGGGTCACTATTATAACATATAGCAGAACTGGGTCACTATTATAACATATAGCAGAACTGGGTCACTATTATTACATATAGAGGAACCGGGTCACTATTATAACATATAGCAGAACTGGGTCACTATTATAACATATAGCAGAACTGGGTCACTATTATAACATATAGCAGAACCGGGTCACTATTATAACATATAGCAGAACTGGGTTACTATTATAACATATAGCAGAACTGGGCCACTATTATTACATATAATAGTAACCCAGTTCTGCTATATGTTATAACATATAGCAGAACTGGGTTACTATTATAACATATAGCAGAATAAATAACGACAAATCGTCGATAACTACGAATTCGTCTATTAAGGATGTAACCCTTTATTCATAATACCACTTACCTTACTTTTGTATCGAAAACATTGATGTTCGTCTATAACAAAAGGCAACAGTAAGAGTATATTGCAGATTATGTACATACATCCTCGATACTCCATGGCACAACGCTCACAAACGATTTCTGTATCCCTGGAATATGGAGGCACGCGGCTATTTAATTGATTGGTAACATTTAAATCTTGACCAATCGCAAGGCTGATACCTGTCCCTTGAAGATTACAGAGGAGAGACAGCTGACTTTAATGCCAGTCAATATTTACCGTTAAGCGGGAGCGAGATTAAAAGTCTTCTTGTTTCATCCAAAATGTGGCGCGTAAAGAGCCTTCGATTTTGTCATTGCATATTCCAGGTGTTGCAGAGAGCGTAAGTCAGCGTAACCACAAGAGTATCGAGGATGCTGTACATAGTGCTAATATCTTTGTATGAGATTTCATGAGAATTACTAAGAACTATATATAAGTCTTTTACAATACTTTTCTGAAGTATTATATGCACTTGATTTTCCTCCTCATAACAACAACCCCCTTCTTCCTCTCAAACTTTGATGTTTTATTATAAAAGATACCCGAATCAGAAATAATATCCGCATTACGCGTACAAACCTTTTGAAAGAGCGTTCTACATACATTGATTGCGAAGCAGATGACGGTGTCAAACATCAATATGACAAGGAGATGACGGAACAGCACGGACGATTGAATAAGGACTGCATAACGTTTGATTATTTGTCTTCATGACATTGTAGCTACAATCCAACATCTTCTAATGTGACTTCATGATTAATGTTAAGCACAGATTAAATGACATTTTCAGATATTTTCTTTAGAAAAAATAAATGAAAAAAGACATTTTTAGATATAATACATGACCCATATTAATTCATCGCTTTTGTAGTGAAATGTTTTCAAATTAAAAAAAGTGACAAATTAAAGGATAGAGTATATTGACGTTGTACATTAGGGCAGCAACTACCAATAATTCAATCACGACAAAACATATGAAATGCTCACAATACAAAAAAAATACAGAAGAAATAAAATTGAGACTCAAACGTGGGTCAATGCCCCTCCTGATATGAAATGCGTTAAGCCTGTTTAACTAAATGAAATGCTGCTTCTGTTTACGTTGTTGCTTCATATTCATATGGAGACGTCTTTGTAATATTCAAAATTTGATCTGATAAACAATACACACCACCCCAGGTACCCTTTAATTTCACACTTTATCGTGTGTCATACTTTGTTCTTTTACTCCATTTTCACCAAAGAACCTCTGACCTCTCACCTCCCGCGGTGAAGCAGTGGAATATTGATATGACGTCATAGTAAAGGAAGTGTCATTGCCTGTAGAAACCTTTCTGGTACCGTTGGACTTTCGATCTGACGTCATAGCAAATGAGTCTTTGTACGTCAAAGTCTTTAGATGCTTTCCTTGACAGCAACATTTTGTGTGAATACAAACAATAAAGTTGTGACGAAATTTTGTATTCATCCAAAAAAAGATAACGGGATTGACTCCTGAGTTGCTGAACGCTAACCAATGAGCAGCAAGCCACATCATATGTACGTAGTCGGCGTCAAAAATTGATTGATCAAGGTCACCTACAATGGTGATCACGTGAAGTGGTAACCATGACAGCAAATACGCTATCACGACAACAATTATCATTTTGATTGTCTGAAAATGAAATAAAAGTAATTATGAAATAATCTTGTTTTTAAATGTACAATTTTTTTTTTTTATATATTATGGACGTATTTCTTTTGAATTTGAAAAAAAATCAAAAGCCGAAATTTGGAAGTTATAATCCTAGCAGATAGTCATAAGTCGTTTTATCAGATGTGCGTTTCATTTTGTCTATGAAACAAAAGCGAATATGAATTCAGGTATCAATAACACAGTTGGCATTTTCCGTGCAACAACGGCACATCTTATGACGGGTGTTTACTTAGAAATATGACGTTACAAAAGTAATTAAGTATTACGAATCTTTAGTAGGACATTTTTTTCGGTGATTTAATTTACCTTCCTTTAAATTATAATGTTTGTTTTGGCCTTATTTTCATTTACCTTCTTTTTTGATGAAGCAAGTCTTTCATCCCGTGTAGTGATGGCCTCTCCTGGTGTCCGTTTGACCCATATAATGACCCCGATGTGTATATAGGTGACTGCTATGATGATGAGGGGAATGAAGTACTGGAGCATCATGATGCAAACTCCATAAACACTACGAACGAAGTCATCTGGCCATTTTTCCATACAGAGGCCTTTAGAGCCGGGTTCATAGGCCATATATTCAATGTCTGCATATAAAAATGTCGGGATGGATATTGCACCGGACATCGCGCATATACACGCGACCAGAATCCTGGCCCGGCATTTTGTTAGTAGGCGTGGCTTCAGAGGCTTTGTTGCCACGTGATACATGTCACATGTCATTGCGATCAGCATAAACGATCTCAATAACACACTCGAAGTTTGCACAAATAACACAATTGGACACAGGAAACCCCAGAATGGCCAGTAGTGGAAAAACAAATTACTCAATATAGAAAACGGAACACATAGTATAGTCATGATGATGTCTGTTATGGCGAGACTCACAATGAAGAAGTTTGTCACCGTTCGAAAACTTTGAATCTTAAAATTTGTATAGCAGATGATACCATTCCCAAAAAGCACTACCAAGCATGTCACACCATACATTCCAAGCAGTATAAACTGAAACTCCTCTGGGATACCGTAATTATCATTTACTGGATCGCCGTCGGATGAATCGTTATTCAAACTTTTGTTCAAACCGTAAAATGGTTCACTTTTTGTCGCCATTGTGTTTTACGTACACTATTCTAGTCAAGGTGCAACGAACTTTCCAATTTAAATTGATATTTTGATTCCAAAATGCTTAATAGATGCGTGAACTTTTTCAGAGATTTAGAAGATATGCTGAACACATGATAGCAAAACAATGGTTGCTCCTCCATGACACGTAATCGCTATACAAATCTCCTTCACTTCTTGGAGAAAACATGTGACTCTCCCGAAACACTTGTAGTCAGCATTTTTTTTTAAATTTCCACATTCATACGTTCTCAACAGGAATCAATTACAGACTCATGTTCTAGCAACAAAATTCACAGAATCCAAAGAGACAGACGAACTTTAAAAAGTCATTGGATGTTTGGAATCACTTTTCATCATAAAATCACTAAATCCTCCTTTGTTGATCACAGCTATATTTCTAGGGTTGAGGAGTCTTCTATAGAACACCTTGTTGTCTTGATTATCCCTCTATTAATAGGGTTGAGGAGTCGTCTATAGAACACTTTGTTTTCTTGATTATCCTTCTATTTCTAGGGTTGAGTAGTCGTCTATAGAACTCTTTGTTGTTTCATTATCCCTCTATTGCTAGGGTTGAGGAGTCGTCTATAGAACACTTTGTTTTCTTGATTATCCCTCTATTTCTAGGGTTGAGGAGTCGTCTATACAACACCTTGTTGTCTTGATTATCCCTCTATTGCTAGGGTTGAGGAGTCGTCTATAGAACACTTTGTTGTCTTGATTATCCCTCTATTGCTAGGGTTGAGGAGTCGTCTATAGAACACCTTGTTGTCTTGATTATCCCTCTATTAATAGGGTTGAGGAGGCGTCTATAGAACTCTTTGTTGTTTCATTATCCCTCTATTGCTAGGGTTTTGGAGTCGTCTATAGAACACCTTGTTGTCTTGATTATCCCTCTATTAATAGGGTTGAGGAGTCGTCTATAGAACTCTTTGTTGTTTCATTATCCCTCTATTGCTAGGGTTGTGGAGTCGTCTATAGAACACCTTGTTGTCTTGATTATCCCTCTATTTCTAGGGTTGAGGAGTCGTCTATAGAACACTTTGTTTTCTTGATGATCCCTCTATTTCTAGGGTTGAGGAGTCGTCGATAGAACACCTTGTTGTCTTGATTTTTACTCTACTTCTAGGGTTGAGGAGTCGTCTATAGAACACCTTGTTGTCTTGATTATCCCTCTATTTCTGGGGTTAACGAGTCGTCTATAGAACACCTATCCTACAAACGATGAAGTCTGAAAAATAGAAAAGGAAACATTAGAAAAACACGTTCTAACAGGAATATGACGTATCCATATACCACGTGATAATGCATTTGCCACTGATAGGATAACGTATAAGCATGTGCAGTTAAAAGTGTCCTCACCTTACGCTTGGATTGGATACCATCACATTACTTTACGTCGCAACAGAGAAAGTCTCATCAGTTGGCAACAGTGTAAAAGGTGTGAGTGTTAGTGGTAATTTAAGAAAACAACATGTCAAGTAGTAATGAATAGTAGCTCAAGTCGTCTATAGCATTTCATTGCAACACCTTTAAAACATAATTGACTACTTTTAACAGAAGCATTTAATTTGAACAAAACTGTTAGAGAACGTCAATGGCTAGGAAAAGATACATGCTAATGCAAAGTAAAATTTGACATTCATAAAAGAAGAATGATAACATTCATTATAACGGTTTGTAATTGCTCAGAACTTTGAGAAGAATTTCAAATCGATTTGAGAATGACTTGGGAATGGGTTTTCCATTTGGGGATGTGTTTTCTCAAAATAGAATGTCTGCTCTCGAAACACAAAGGTGTTCAAGGTAAGGAAATTGTCTAAAATCTTTTAAAAATCATGAAAGAACAAGAGGCCCATGGGCCTTAACGGTCACCTGATATATTTATACAAAGAGTTGATTTTTTTTTTAACACGAACAGAAATATTATTCAAAGTGAAAAAAAAACCCAATAAAAACCACCTTATTCAATATCTAGCATACAGATTTAAGACTAAAACGTATTTGAAACTAGCACCTCTGATTTTAAACACGAATAATGAAGACATTTTAGCACACTGACTCTTTTGGGCCCCACCCTATAGCCCTTGGGGGTAGGGCTGATTCAAAATTTTCATGGTATCAAACTGTCAACTCAGGGTTATAATTCCAATCAAGTTATTAACATGTAATATTCAAAGTATCATTTAAGCATTGAACTGCTTTTGTATGGTATTTATGATCTATTTNGCCTTATCGACAGTCCACACAATTTCGTTCAATAGTTTGAACAGCGTATTGTCGCGTGCTGATTGGCAAACAAAGTAGTACTTTGAAATTTTAACAAACACTTCAATTTTATTCCACAATTCAGTATCAATACAATTGCGTATGATATGTCTATAGGGTGATTTAAGTTTATCAATAGAACTCTGAGCTGAAAGTTAGATTTGAAATTGTTTCGATTTTTCCCCGGAACAAATTTCGCGCATGGACAAATACAGTGAACACCGTAAATCCGACCTTGCCCTCCACGAGGGAGTTATTTTTGGAAGTTAATTCGAACTTTTCTCTTCGCTCATTTTGTGAAGAATCCAGGCGTGAATTTATTTGTTGATTGTATGGGAACCTGACAACAGTCGGTAGATTCTATAACGGCCTCGTTATTTGACATGTCGTCAGAAATCAGGAACCGTGGATGCGAGACGCGTGAAACTGATAGCGTTTGAAGTGAGTGATCTTGCGACGGAGCACAGATTCGTTACAAAATGTCTGAAATGTTTATGTGTGCTGTGACTCATATCAGTAGGTCTGTAACATATGTGTATTTCAGACATTTGTAACGAACCCCTGTTGATCAGTGCAGTGTAACAGACGATATTTCTGATAAATTGCATGAGCGTTAAAATTGTTTCCATTGCCGGCATTGGTGATTTCAAACGATGTGCATTTTGTACGATATTGCAGACCTTGGTCTTGTTTTCGTTGTAATGAAAGTGTTTTTTATTTTATTTTTTATTTTGCACATAAATTTACAATGACATTGTCAAATCTCACAATGCCCAGCGATATTGGAAGTTAATATTGGATATTGGATATTGTAGTTCCGGTCAGTGTTGTATTAATACGCTAAGAATTTTGTCTCGTGATGCATGGTGATTAAAGTCCCATCAACGACACAGCTTTCAAAGAGGCTATATAGTGACAATGCCATGCAAATCTAAATATTTGCCATTATAAACCATAATAAATTTTGCCCCATCCCCTTCCTTTCCCCAGGGGGAAACGTGAGACCCTAGGGTCATAAACCTTAGGACCCTTTCATCTCTGAAGAGTGTTTAATTCTACCATATCTGGGTCTTTGAGAAGTAGATTTATGAAATTTCAGTCAATAAAACCCTTTTTTGGCCCCACCCATCAGCCCCAGGGGGTCAGTCAGGGCTCATATGTGCAGACCATCAAACTGCTATCCAATACTGATAATGCTAACCCAAATTGAATTACTTCCAAAGGAAATTAAACAAATGGTGGTCTAAAATGTGATTTCCCTATATAAACTATAGTAAAGTTTACCCCCTCCCCAGGTGTAAACGTGAGACCCTAGGATCATGAAATTCACAATTTTGGTAAAACACCTTAAGACCTTTCCATCTATGAAGAGTATTTGATTCTACCATATCTTGGTCTTGAGAAGAAGATTTTTGAAATTTCAGTCAATTCGACCCTTTTTGGCCCCACCAATCAGCCCCGGGGGTTCAGTCAGGGCTCATATGTGCACACCATCAAACTGCTACCCAATACTGATAATGCTAACCTAAATTGAATTACTTCCAATGGAAATTAAACATATGTTGGTCCAAAATAGGATTTCCCTATATAAACTATAGTAAAGTTTACCCCCTCCCCAGGGGGAAACGTGATACCCAAGGGTCATACAATTCACAATTTCGGTAAAGCACGTTAAGACCCTTCCATCTATGAATAGTATTTGATTCTACCATATCTTGGCCTTGAGAAGATTTTTTTTGAAATTTCAGTCAATTCGACCCTTTTTGGCCCCACCCATCAGCCCTGGGGGTTCAGTCAGGGCTCATATGTGCAGACCATCAAACTGCTACCTAATACTAATAATGCTAACCCAAATTGAATTACTTCCAATGGAAATTAAACAAATGTTTGTCCAAAATGTGATTTCCCTATATAAACTATAGTAAAGTTTACCCCCTCCCCAGGGGGAAACGCGAGACCCCAGGGTCAAGAAATTCACAATTTTGATAAAGCACCTTAAGACCCTTCCCTCTATGAAGAGTATTTGATTCCACCATATCTGGGTCTTGAGAACCAGATTTTTGAAATTTTAGTCTATTTGACCCTTTTTGGCCCAGCCTCTCAAGCCCCTGGGGGCTGGGGACCAAACTGGCCACCATTTTTGTAGACCTTTGGCCATGGAAGGTTTCTGCAAAATTTCATTGAAATTGGTTCAGGGGTTTTGGAGAAGAAGTCGGAAATGTAAATTGTTTACGGACGCACGACGAACGACGCTGGACAAAAGGCGATCGCAATAGGTCACTTGAGACTTTGTCTCAGGTGACCTAAAAAATAGTGTAAGCATAGCAACACCATTTTAGGTAAAAATATAAGTATGAAGAAGCATATGAAAAGAATATCTTTCTTCCTAGTATCTACATATATGAAATAGATGTATACAGGCGATATACAGTTTATCACACTGTGTTTTCAAGGTTTGTCATTCAAACGTTTTATCATCGCGAGCACGTGAATAAACCATTAGGCTACCTACCCGCATTGACCTCTCGTGTAAGTGGTCGCGATGAGATTTGTTCTTACGGCAAACACTGAACAAACAGTGTGATGAGTAAAGTCTTGTATTATAGGATCAGACATATCAACACTCAGACTTTGTAACACTTTTAAACAAGTACATAGACTATATACAGTATAAGTATGGAGATATAATAATTATAAATACTCCGAAAAAATAACCTAGT